CAATTTTCATATGAAAATAAGGACTCTGGCACCTTATGGTGTTTGTCATGTCTATGCAAGTTCTGAGTCATCCAGGTTGTAGTATGCTGAAAAAAAAACGTGGAAAAAAATCATCTGGACTTGGTTTTAGGTAGAAGACGTTTCACCTCTCATCCAAGAGGCTTCATCAGTTCTGTCCAACTGGTGTTGAGTGGGAGGTATTTATCCCCCTTTGTGGTGTTACAGTCCTTCGATGGCCAACAGTGTCCCCTAATGACTAATATGTTGCGGTTCCAGTCCTTTGGTGGCCAACAATGTCCCCTAACCACTGAGTTGTTATAGTCCAGTATCGGTGAACGTCGTTACCTGTCTCTGAAACCTCACATGTGGACCGATGCTTGTTGTCCTGGTGTGAACTAGGGTGGGAATGTTTGGGCAGAGATTTCAACACAGTTGTAAATGGGTGGCAAGTTGCAGTTAGGGTTGGGCCTCCTGTGTTGGGCCATGCGTTTGTGCAGCAGCTGCTTAGTTTCACCAATGCTCACTACATTGGCTGCCAATACAGTATAGAATTAATTTCAAAATATTACTGTTTGTTTTTAAGGCCATAAATGGCCTTGCTCCGCCATACATATCGGATCTTCTCTCCGTCTATGTGCCACGCAGAACCCTGTGCTCCTCAGAACACTTGTCCCTGGTTGTTCCTTGGGCTAGGTACAAAAAAATGGGAGAATGCTCTTTTGTCGTGTACGGCCCCAGGCTTTGGAACTCCCAAACCGCCAGAGCTTCAGGCCAAAACTGAGCTGGCAGTCCACCACACCTGATCACATCACATAGATTAAACTGAAATGTCACATTGGTACCCCTAATGTACTGTAATTCAAGCCCTCCATAATTGAACAGGCAGTAATCCATCTCCTTCTGCTGGTTTAGGTTCCTTTTACTATGTTCTCTGGAGAGGATCTGGACTTCACTGTCCTCAAAAGAATGTCCTTTGTCCTTCAGGTGGAGGTGGACTGCTGACTCTGGTCCACTGGAGTTGGCCCTCCTGTGTTGGGCCATGCGTTTGTGATGCGGCTGCTTAGTTTCACCAATGTACAAGTCGTTACACTCCTGACTGCACTTAATTCCATACACCGCATCGCTCTGTTCATTAAAGGGTGTTTTGTCCTTCGGGTGGACCAGTCTCTGCCTCGGGGTGTTCCCTGGTTTAAAGTTAACTGGGATATTGTGGTTGCGAAAGATCCTTTTTAGCTTCTCTGATAAACCAACCACATAAGGGATGACAGTGTTATCCCCTCTTGTTTCTGGTTTCTCCCTGTTGGTGTTGGGCCTCTTCCTTGCTTTGGTGAAGGCCCACTTGGGGTATCCACAAGCCTTGAGGGAGTTCTGGGTGTGTAGTTTCTCCTTCTTGGTCCCTTCTGCAGTTGTGCGCACTTCCTTGTGAGCACTTCCTCGGACCTGTGGTTTAGAGTTCTAATGACCCCCGGTTTGTGTTGAAGTGGAGTGTGAGTCAAAAAGAAGGTATTGGTCTGTGTGTGTAGGTTTCCAATATACTTCCACCTTCAGCCTTCTGTCTCCTTCTAGTGGACTGCACAGTCCAAACGGCCAGATAGTAATCTTTGGCATCCTCATGAGTGAACTTCATGTTGATATCCCAAGAGTTGATATGCTTGGTGAAAGCCTCTACCTCTTGGGTTCTGATTTTAACCCATGTGTCATCCACGTAACGGAACCAGTTACTGGGAGAGGTACCAGTGAAGGAAGACAGGGCTTTGTCCTCATATTCTTCCATGTACAGGTTGGCAACTATAGGAGACACAGGGGAGCCCATAGCACAGCTGTGTTGCTGCCTATAGACGTGTCCCCTAAACTGGAAATAGGTAGTGTTCAAACAGAGTTCCAGCAGAGTGCATACATGGTCTGGGATGAGGTTAGTCCTGCTGTTCAGCATGTCATCCTTCAGGAGTCTCTTCTTCATCGCCTTGACAGCCTCTGTGGTGGGGATGCAAGTGAACAAAAATGTGACATCATATGAGGCCATGGTCTTGTCCTGGTCCAGCTGCAGTTGTCTGACTTTCAGTATCAGAATCAGAATCTGCTTTATTGGCCAGGTGTGTCGGACACACAAGGAATTTGACTCTGGTACATCGGCTCTCAATGTGCATGTACATATCCCCTTGCAAGGGGCAAGTAAACAGTAAACCAATATAAGGCTGTGTAATATAACAAAATAAGCAGTATTAACAGCAACAAACAGTGCAAACAATGCAAAATAAGCAGTATAAACAGGCAGTAAACAATGCAGACAGACAAGGAATGTTGAC